GGGGCGGAGACATACAACAGCCCATCTCATGAGTGACCCATTTTCCTCTATCGCATAAGAGTATTGTACAAGTAATCTCGCAGCGTTCGGAATCGCCGGGTATACAGGGCTTAAGAAATAACGGCTTTGGTGCACCCCCTTCATCGCCAAAGGAGGAGGAAAGGAGAAGGTGAGGCGTATTGTTCTGTTAGTAACGCCCATTCGGGATAACTAAACTTTTTAGCGCGTTGGTTCTGGATGTCGAAATCCGTCGGTGAAGGCACCATGCACGCAGATAATATGGTTGGAGTCCATGGACCACTCCTCCATTCCCATTGGTGAACACTTCCTCCATAGATGGCAAAGAAGAGAGCGCACCAATGGAAAAGCGCAAAGGTCCACGTGACCCCGCCCATACCATCAGCGCGGAATGAACCAAAGCGCTAACGGCGTCATCCTAGCATTCCGCCCTTTCTCCATTTTTTTATATTCTCAAATCGAGCCTTCTAGATATGGCATTCAAGGGCATTTTGGGGCTTGGGCAACCATGTTACGACAACGAAGAATCGATACCCACATCACCTGAGGTCAGTACGGGGTGTCGCGGTAACGGCTTTGTATTCCGGTGCCAGACACTCCTTAATAGCATGTCTATGCCTCTCCTCCGCCGGAACCATCGCAGCTACGCCCCGTTTTGCCAGCAGGTATGCACTAAACCCAATTCTAGCTAACATCGCTCACTTCAAGTGTTAGCGCTAGCAGAGAACTGCTCGTTTCCGCCCCTGATGATAGGGTACAGCATCACAGAGGGAACACATAGGGGGTCGTAGTTTTCGCTGAGGAGAGGGGTCGTATTTGGTCGTTGTTGGGAGAGGGGGGTCGTATGTGGCTTTGAGAGAAATTTGCCGCGTTGGGAAAAAATTTCCCCGGTTGTTGACTTCTGATTTTTCCTGTTTCATGTGTACTGTTCACCCCAACCCCCACCCCTCCCTTCCTCCTCCGCTCGACGGAAAATCTCTGGGTGAGAACTGGAAAATGTGGAAAATTGTAGGTAGGTACTTGGGAAGGTGGCGGAGGGGGAGAGATCGGGGGAGAGTTGTACAGAGACCCCCCATTAGGTGGGGAGGTCGCACCAAGACCCTTCCTCGAAAGAGGGGGGGGGATCGTACTGGCATCACCGTTTCACACATCACGATGCTCTACCCTGCCTGGCGATCGTCTGGCGAATCCCACTATCTTGCCACATCCATGCATCACCTTTTTATGATATAATCGACCCATGGTACTCCCGTATTTCATCGGTCATTGTTGTTATTCTCGTGTTTCATTTCCTGTTTATGTGTGCCAATACACATCCTTGTTGCCGACTGGTTTTACGCCCGGGCATAAATCTCCATGCCCAGGTGATTAAACGGTGGTGAGTACA